CAGATCCTCATCTCCTTCGCCCAGTCGCTTTCTACCTTTTCATTGCTCTTCGCGTGCTTCTCGCTGTTCAAGCCAATCTCCAGGTTTGCGCACTTCCCCATTTTTTCGCGTGAGGCATCATGATCGGATCTTCTATGCGGTTCCTTCCCCTTTTGCGTTGCCCTGCGCTTCTTAATTTTCACGTACAAACCAGAGGCGACCACCTTCTGTTCTGACCGTCGATGTTCCCTGCGCTTCTCCATTTGAAGGTCGATTAAGACTCCAGGAAATTGAGTGCTCTGATACCAATGATAGGAACCAGAAAATTACTGTATATTAATTCTGGAAAACTGAGTACATAAGCTAATACAATGGTCGATGATGGAAAGTGTCGTGCAAAGAGAACGGAAAGAAGAAAAGAAACGATAGAGACACTTCGAGTAGTCTCAACACTCCCAAGTCCCAGTCCAGATCCAAAGTTCTGCCTCCCCTCTCCCTCTTCTATTCCCTCTATTTATTCTTTTCCCAATGAGGCTTCCCTCAATCTATCTAATTACTTAGCCCAACCCACTATTACAGTTTATTAAAATATTAAGCCCATAGGTCCATGTCTCTATCACTGCTTCTTGCGCCGACTGTGTTCTTCTACATGCAACTGTGTGAGGCTTCTTCTGCATTAGCTTCTACTGAGAGTCTGAGAGACTGAGATGTTCAACCATTTGTCTTTCTTTTCTTTTCTTTTCTTTTCTACTGCGAAATTTGAGCTTCTCATGATTTTGTGATTTTTCTTCACGCCAACCCAAGGTATGGGTTATGCAATTATTTTTCAGTAGTGTGTTGGTGATGATCACTTTATCAGTGAGATTTAGTGCTCTGTATGAGTTTGGTGCGTTGTCATCAAAATATATTTTAATGGGCGAGTATAGTTAATTTTTATTACTTTTGTTTTGGTTAATTATAAACACAGTTATATAGTTATGGTGTTATTACAAAATATGAAACTTGTTTGGTAAGGTACATGGGCAAGAAATACATTGGTTTATGATCTCATTTTTTGGTTTTAATTATGGCATTTGTTGACTTTTAATGATTACTTTATTTTAATTTTTGTTACATCATTTGTATTTTTTATGTAAATTTGCGTAAAAAATGCTAAGAAACCGCCTCAAATATGCAACACGCAGTTTCAAACATTGCTCTGGATGGAGTTATGGATGAGCTTTGTAATTACAATAATTCAGCTCCAGCGATATCTTACTGGAATCATCCTTGAAAAGAAAGATTGTGTTAGGTACCTGATTAATTCACAATGATTTCAAGAAGTAAAAGATGAAGAAGGAAGATGTGCGTAACAATGGAAGCCGTCGTTTAACAGAAAATGTAGAGAGAGAAATACAAAGGCAGTTAAAGAGTGCCTACTCTCCAAAGTCCCAGACCCAAATAACAATTCCCAACCTCCCTTCTATTCTACCATCCACCTCTATTTATACTAACTATTCTAATATTATTACTACTCTTATTATTATTAGTGCTATTCTGCAGGAGTCCTATCATATCTCCCCCCTTGAACATCCACCTCAAGGTGGGTGATAGGACACAGCCTTGATCTTGAACTTCATCTTCATCCTGGAGCCTCTTCCTTCCCAGTACCTCCCGGATTTCTGAACCATAAGTTTCTGTACTTTCACCTTCCACCTCATAAACGTTTCTGCAGCCGAAGAGAATTCTAGTGCAGTTTTAGTCTCTTCAGTGGCTATCAAGCACTCAATAACGGCAAATGTTTCTTTGTTCTGTGCTTCTCCCTTTGCAGCAGTCATCTGTTTTGTTATTGCTGCAGCCAGTCCTTCCAGCAGATTCCACCTGAGTGATTTGTCATTGTAGATGATAATTTCACTCAATAGTCTCCTCACATCAGGACTTGGTTTTGCCAAAAGCCTTCCAATCACACATGTATATGCACTCTCCACCACTTTGAATTCAGGATCCCCTTCTTTTGTAGTTCCTTCTAGTAATCCTAAAGCTCGTATCACCACTGCAGAGTCATGAGGAAGAGAGAAGTTGAACTCGTACATAACATCATATAACTGATTTATAGCCTGAACATCCTGGGATTGTCTACTACCATCACCAAAGGATTGTACCACAGTTCTTTCACGAATGAAACCGAGAGAGAGGAATTCATTTGCCGAACTCCTTGAAATTGTAGCCTCAGAATCTCCAGCTGCCACCCTTTTCAAATAAACTTGAAGCATGAGAGCTTTCAACTCATTATCTTCTGGCCATTTTAACTTCTGAAATAAGCTAACTTCCTTCCTAACTGTCAACAACTCCTTCCCTGTTCCGCGGTGTTCACTCATGGGCGGCACATATCCAGCTCCATACTCAATAGGTGGATGGTTAGAACTTCCCAACTTAAAAAGTACAGTAAACACATTAGAAATTTCAAAATGAGCTGTGACTTTCTCTCCTACTAGCATTGTCCACGAGACATTCGGAATACATGCTCCAAACACTTCACAGATGATTATCAGAAACTCAACGAGTTGAAAATCCTTGCCATCAAGAGAAAGTAACTGTACACAGTCTACTGGTGGTATGCCAACTAAGAGGATATTCAGCATTGATGCATAACAGCTCGACTGATTCTCTTTTCCAGAGTACTCTGTAGAAACGGGTGGAAATCACAGCGTAGTAATGCAGTAGGAAGTGTGTTCCTTTTTAACGACGTTCAGTCTTCCATCTGCTTTCCCAATAGCTAAGAGCTGTTGAATCCCGCCAAGATGATTCCAGTACGTAACATCTCCACCAAAGTATTGATTATAATTCACACTAGGACAACCATGGACCTGTAATTCGTCTTCTGTGACATGATAGTGGTGCAGTACCTTTTCAGCATCCCTATTGTTAGCTACTTTAATAAAATCAGAATTATAACCGTGAACATAGCTCAAACTATCAAACCCCGCAGAGGAATTATTTTGGTTTTGCATTTCAATTTTGTCCTCCTTTTTCTCAGACTTTGATTCATCCTCTTCTATTTCCCTAGTTTCCTCTATACGGACAGTTTCTGTAGAGCTTTCCCAAGTATTTGAACCAACAATTTTATCAACGCCAAATTCATATTCCATGGCAATGGATTGAATCACCACAGAAGTTTTCTCCTCTGGTTCCAAATCACCATTGATGAATGTATCTTCAGAGTTAGGTTGTCGCTGACTCACATACTGCTGAGAAGTGGTTTGCGAGTGCGAACTGGGAGATACTGTTCGCGAGTGCGAACTGGGAGATTTTTCCGCTGATCGCGTCGCACTTTGATGTGAACTGTGAGAAGTTCTTTTCGACCGTGATGATTCCCGGTTTTCTGTCTTCCGCCTGCGTGTAGGTTGGAAACTCCGAATTGTTGCTTCCTTTAGAACTTCCCAATTCTTTTCTCTCATTCCAATTTCCCACAATTGAAACCAATTGTACGCCATTTCATCCATTGTTTCTTCTGCCACTCTAACCTTGTATTTTTCAGCAGTACCGTTGAGTCTGAAGTATCGTTCCATACTCATTATCCATCTGTGCGGGTCCTCTCCTTTGAATACAGGTACTGCTGAAAAATACTGGTGATTCCTCTGGACTGACGTAATTTCTCGCGTTCCTAAGGTGCGAAGTGGAATGCGAACTGTGAGAAGATGTTCTCGACTTACCTCCGACTTCATCGCGAGTCTTCCACCCATCATCGCTAGTCTTCCGCGCTTCATCGCGATTCTTCCCCATCTTCTCGATGTTTCGTTCCAATTTGCGCAAACCAGATGCGGCCAGTTCTGACCATCGATGTTCTTCACGTAAACCATAGCGCTTCTCCATGGTTCCAGGCGTCGATTGCTCTGAAGAAGACGAAGAAGATTCACTACTGTCCAGTCTCTTGCTTCGCTTTGTTGTTTTGGACCTTCCGCGCGACTCACCTCGCTGCATTATTAACTCGCGCAACTCATCGCGAGTTCGTTGAGCCTCTTCACGCATGTCTTCGCGGTCGCGATCGCGATCGCGCATCACCTCCATGCGAGTCTTCTCCAACTCTCGCAACATGTCCATACGACTACGTTCCAACTCGCGTTCCAGGTTTTCCAGTCTAACTTCCATTGTTATTCTTGTTGATCCTCTCGTAACGACCATGTACAGGTTACCAGGTCGATGCTCTGATACCAATGTTAGGTACCTGATTAATTCACAGTGATTTCAAGAAGTAAAAGATGAAGAAGGAAGATGTGCGTAACAATGGAAGCCGTCGTTTAACAGAAAATGTAGAGAGAGAAATACAAAGACAGTTAAAGAGTGCCTACTCTCCAAAGTCCCAGACCCAAATAACAATTCCCAACCTCCCTTCTATTCTACCATCCACCTCTATTTATACTAACTATTCTAATATTATTATTACTCTTATTATTATTAGTGCTATTCTGCCGGAGTCCTATCATAATTCTGACGGAGTCCTATCAGATTGGCATCTGAAGTAAGTAGGTGAAGAGCTTCTAAGAACAGGCTAGACTGCATCAGATACTCATATATTATTGGACACTTTAGCTAAGTGATATTCTATTAGTCAAGAAACTGATTTCAGGGCAGACTTTTGTGTTGATGCACATTAATGCATAGATTTATACTCCGTATATGTTATTACAAACACTTTATGTTTATTAATCTAGGAACCAACATTTTGAACTAAAGTAACTACTGTCTATTGAAGTCTGAAACAGCGGAACCCTAAATTTCAGTCTGTATAATTCATGAGTTGTGCTACATTTTGAACCATTCATGGGTATGAAGTACTTCCTCTAGTGAGATCATGTTTATGAAATAAATACTCTGAATGTGACTTACTTGTATATGGTTCAACGTGGAAGGATGTAGAAACAGTCAATGTGGTGATTTAACAAGATAACCCATGCACATATTTTAAGAATAACATGCAATTGTATCTAATCATAGGAAATACGAAGTACAAGAGAACACCATATAGATTAGATTGGACTTACCATTTCACAATCAAGTGCTAAAATCTCATATGGAGGGGTTCCTGAAGAAGCAGGAAGTGTTGAGCGATACTCTGTTATGTAAAAATAGGGTAAGGAACTGAGTACTCTACAAACCCAGCGGTAATACTACATAATATTCAATTTAGAGATCCTTAGCACCTGGCTTATCATAACAGTATAAGTTATCTTCCAATTCCTTAGCAGTAAGGGTATAATAAGTCACAGGAAATGGTATGTTTTTCTTAAGGTCGTGAAAAGATGAAACCTCTGAGGTTGAAGCGATACACCCTGCATGAACAAAAAACATGTATCCCATTAAATGTCCAACAAGATAGTTAGACAACCAGCTTGTTTTCATAGCCATGTCATTAACAAGGCAGATATCTTCCATACACATGGCCCACATGTATTTCTAATTGTCTTTATCAATACTGCTTCAACGATCAAAGTATCAAACCAATGATCATATGTGGTAAATTACGATCTTATACCAAATTGTCATTACAGGCTCCAATATGTATATTCCCATGTTTAACTGTTTACTGTTTTCTTAGTTAAATAACGTAGCCTCATGAAAGGGCACTCAAATACTCCAGCCAGCCACCTAATGCTATGGTCCGAGATCAGTGTCATCTAATAAATGGATTCACAATATACATCATTCGACTCATGAAACTCGACTAACCATGTTTGAGTAAGCCAATACACCTTACTGAATAAAGCCTCATCATGCTAAGACTCCTAAGAGTACAATAAATTCTAAAACCCATGCTATTTTTGATGAATCTATTGCTGTTTTTTTTCAATACAGATTGTGTTTTAAAAAAATTAAATAACCAAATGTAGATGCATTTGTTGAATTACTGTTTGCTTCCTACTCCAGTGCATAGAAATGTCAAACATCTAGGTAAAATATTCCTTTTCCAATTTCCACAAGCAATTACTAAACACATGACTATTTTACAAAGTACACCTTGTTTAGATGTTTCAGCAACCATTTTTGAGACATGTTCAGCATCATCCCTTTTTCTTTTCATTTTGTAGGTCAGAAGTGCATCTATAGTTTGTGTCCCATCTGATACACAGCTACCATAGAGAAAAAAATAAATTAAATAAATAAATACAATTGGCGAGAGTTGCAACTTGCAAGGTATTGTCGCATATATTCATTATATTGAAAAACCACCTGAGAGCTAGAACAGCTCTTGGAATGCCACAACATTGTTTAAAACTTTTGAGATTTTTAGATCGCGACAAGTAGAGCGCTGCATCAAGCCCAGGCACATACAGCATAACTACTTTAGGAATCAAAGGCTTGTTCTGCAGAAAGTAGAAATAGATTTAGAGCTTTTAACCTCTCATGAGATGATATATCATTGTGATGCAAATTTACAAGGAACCATAAAAATGATAGTAACACGTAAAAACATAGCTAGCAATCAGCATGTAGCATTTGCCCATTAAACCTGCATCATGAACCCTACTTTATGATTATATATCCTTTTCATTTTACAAGGTATGAAGAAGATGTTTTTGCTAACTTAGCATCTTCAACAATCCCGATTATTGGAGAAGAAAACTTACATACTACCTCTGTCCCACTAATATTGGGAGTTGAGAGGGAAGAGGGTGGCACGGTTATTAAGAAAAGTGAGTTTATGTGGTTGATATTAATTGATAAAGTAAGAATAATGTAAGAATGATTTAGAGCCACACAAACTTTACCAAATTTGATAAGGGACGATTTCAGTGGGATTTCCGAAAAGGTAAAATGGGACAATATTAGCGGGACGGAGGGAGTATTATTGAACACACATCTACTACCTCAAATTGTATTGAAACCGCTTATAATTGGACGACTTTTTAGCTATCATTTGCCCCAACAAATAATATATGCTTCAGTTTTTGACTCCTAGAACGTAGTTAAGGCATAAGGTTAAAAATTAAAATTATATAATAACTCATTACCTATCTACTAACATATGTAAAAGCTAGTATCTCAATGATCTAGGTCCAATTACATAATCTCTCCATATTGAAAAGTTTGTTACACTTTCCTTTTTGGGATGCATTTTAACTTTTGTTACACTTTCCCGTTTTGGTAAGTTTTCATTTTAAAAATACTCAACTACCCTTCTTTTTCCTACTTTTTATCTTCTCTTTCATACCTTTCCACCTTCTCTCCTTTTTCTAAACTATTCATCACCCGGTCACTCCTACTATGTTTTCCTTAAACATGGTGTCAAACCCTATTGTAGCAAACACTTCAATACGGAGGGAGTATTATGTAACATATACTCCCTTCGTACCGAAATAATTGGCATGCTTTCCTTTTCGGTCCGTCCCGAAATAATTGTCTCCTTTCCTTATTTGGTAAATAAATCTATACAAAATAGTGTCAAACAGTGCAAAACAATGCCAAACAGTGTCGCTACAGTGTGAAGTCAACTTTGTTTTCTTAATCTGTGTGAAGGTCAAAACAGGACGATTATTTCGGGACGGAGGGAGTAATAACTTAAATTTGGGTCTAATAACTAATACGGAGCAAGTATTAACACACAAGTGACACAACAAGCTATGCTTTATTTGTCTGCACTGATATCTAGCAGAGAGCAATAACAACTATAAGTGTAGTATACTGAAAGAAAGCTGGTACTATCATTCACAAGTATCTCATTCCTCATATTCTTTCACAACCAACATAAATTGGTCCCTTTCATTGTGGTTCAAGTATGTATGCAGGAAAAACACAATACATATATTGAATGAACGGACTATAAAGGAAGCACAATTTCATTACTTTGATAAAAACCCATGATGGCATGAAACCTTCAGCAAGCACCCAGGTGGCAAGGCCTTGCACTTCCTTGGTGAACAAACCAAATACGGTTAATTCATTTAAAAGAAATAGCAAAACATTTTTCAATATTCTGCATAGCCGTGAAAGCATACTTGCAAATTCAATGTAGAGTTTGCTTCTGGCTGCTTGAAAACGACTTCTGCTCTACCCTGGAGAAAATGGCAAACTTGAGGGCCAGTAAAATAAACAGATTATAAAATAATTGATCAAGGCCATCTTTTCTTGCACGAAAAGAACTTCTGATGAAATTATCAGTTTAACGGATAACTATTCCTTCTTGCATCAAGAAATGAACACACCATTCTGATGTCCTGTTCATAAACAAATATTAAGGATTCATAGCCACTAGAAGTTTTGCAGTACAGCATGCATATTTCATTCAGATGAATGTGGAGAAGATTGCCAGGGAAAAGAAAGAGCATTTAAATCTCTAACATTTTTATAGCACACTAATTCTATAGAGATTAACACCTCATAAGTCATGTTTTCCTGTGGACGGAGGGAAGCAAGAAAGCTAGAGTAAAGCTCAGGTCTTTCACTGGCTAAAGCTCTAATCTTTCATCTTTGTTTGCTGTTTATAATTTCATATAAGCAGATAAATTCTTATGCACAATACAAAAGGCTACCAGCTTCTTATGCACTCCAAGGTTTTGTGCAAGACTAAGCATTCAAGCTCAAAATGCTAAACCATTAAGCTATGTATATGCAAGGAGCCGAGGACACAGGTCACAGAATTCTTATACAACTTCCTGTCAAGTTTTTACTTTTACTTTGAATTTAAAATTTGCATATCCCATTCCCAAGTTGCTAGTGTTCAGATCGTTTCAGCAGAAATAATAGCAACGAACTGAGCCAAGGAGTTCGGGAACAGCTTTCCTCCGCGTAAGTTAAGTTCTTAAGCTCCGCTTAACTATGATACTATACCCATAAACATATGAGTTCCACCCATAGCGCACCAAAAAGAAAAACGTCGCTTCTTCTAATATGAGTTCAGAATCATAGGAGTGAAGATGAGAAAACCTAAACAGATATATGTTTGACTACATCCCACAAAAATATGCGGCAGAGGCCAGGAGAGAAGATGGAGAAACCTGTGGGCCATAAATTTGAACGAAGGTTTCACCGTTTTCGTGATTGGAATCTTCTTCTGCGCCACCGTTGCTTCTGCTGTTCGACGGATTCATCTAAGCAAGATGGAATTCCGGGAGTGAGAGTTGTGTGGAGTCGAAAGCGGAAGCGGTTTGCACTTTGCAGTGCTGCAGGAATCAGACCCGTTTGATACTGATTTTAAGTTTGGGAAATTACCAAAATAGGAGCAAATGACATTTGGAATTCCAAAAATATGACTAGTATATTTTTCTTCCCGAAATAGGAGTTATTACTGTCGTGTATGAAAAATACTGTCATTATTGAAAAATACTATCATTAATTATAATAAATATTGTCATGTTAAATGCATTGTACTGCAACTATTTGGCAGTCACGGCTACAAAATGACAATAAATATTGTCATGTTAGTCTCATTTCGGGAATAAAAACACAGTAGTCCTATTTTGGAATTTCAAACTTCATTTACTCCTATTTTGGGAAATCTCCCTTTTAAGTTTTGTTTTGAATTAAAAAGGGATAACTATCAAATAAGCTCTCGAGCTTTCATAAAAAGTGCAAATAAGCCCTTTTACAGAAGCCTTTATCCGCCTATTGCCATTTGGGGCGGTTTCCAGTGTAATTTTTTGATGAAATTTTTTTAGCATCTTCTTCATTAAGTCTAGCTTATTTATCCATACCAAATTTCAGCTAAAAATTCAATCGAGAAGGCAGTCAAATGAATTTCTGAAATATAGTGCGCTGTTTAACTGCGCAGTTATCTTCAAAATTCATTTGACTGCCTTATCGATTGATTTTTTATCTGAAATTTGGTATGAGTAAACTAGACTTAATGAAGAAGATGCTCAAAAAATCATAAAAAAATTCCACCAGAAACCGCCCCAAATTGTGATGGCCGGACAGAGTCTCCTATAAAAGGGCTTATTTGCACTTTTTATGAAAGTTCGAGGGCTTATTTGGTAGTTCTCCCAATTAAAAATGATTTGAAGGTAAGAGGTAAGAAAGAATGACAAAAATATTACTTAGTAACTTTGAATGAACAAAAATATAACTATTAAGTGATTTGGATGAAAAGGTGATTTATTATTACAAAGAGACATTTATACCCTTGACCCAAGGGTGCAAATGAGCCGAGCCGAGCCCGAATATGTGTAGGCTCGACCTCTAAATATATTGTATTGGCTCGAGCTTGACTCAAACGAGCTTAAATATCGAGGCTCGAACTCAAGTCGCAAATATTTAGATGGCTCGATTCAGCTTGATTGGTTCGATAATCTTGGTTCTTTGACTCAAAAGTTACAAGTTCGATTAGCTCGAAAGTTCGAGTTTGAAGTCGAGCTCAAGTATGAAACAATCTATTGGGTTAATGGCCCAACAGGGGCCGGCCCATCAACCCTTCGAGGTCCACCAAACACTCGTCCCCTAAGCCCCCAAGCCATTTGGGACTGTCTTCAGGATAGCAGCCAAAGGCAGAGAGGAAGTTCGTCCCCATTAGGGATGTTCGGTCCCAGGATGCCAGACCAGGGGAGACAGGTAACCGCATTCCAAGTACAACTGTCGGGGGACGTACGTCATGAGATAAGTAGATAACGGAGTGGCACATCAGCCCTAAAGGCACCACAGGACACCAGGTTGCTAGTTCCTGGGGACGCCTGTCGCCATCCATCCACTGGCGAGAAACCTAGATTCTGGCGGGAAGGGCATTAAATGCAGAAGATTTGGTGGTTGAAACTCTAGTCATCCACAGCTCGCCACATCAACATGTCTAACTACCCATTGGTGGTATAAATAGTACTCCGTAACATTTATTTCATTGTAAAGGGTTGACAACTTAGCACTCTAGCATTGTAGCAATTATATCAGCTCATAGCATAGTATTGTATGAACGGCCTCAGGGCTTAATTGTAAGTGACTCCCTATTCGAGATTTAATAGAACAACAGCCCATTACTACGGTTTACTTGGCCCATCTTTACTTGTTAATCATCTGCTTCATTACCCCTTCCACTCGAAATCCTTGAGTTACGTGTTGGACCTACGGATTGAAGAAATAAACTTCAACACAGTCTTTGAAGATTTGTGCTTAACATTTGCAAATTGCCATTTACATGGCAAACAACTAAAAGTAGAGTAAATATTGTCCAAAATAAATCAAAAGTGGTCAAACCATGAAAATTAAACTGAAACTAGAGTTACGGGAACAAAAAATAAACAAAATATAATCCCAACTTCAAGTCTCCACCCGGTTGGTCTTCTAATGTAAATCAAAAGTGGTCAAACCATGAAAAAATAGTGGATGAAACTTTGATGCTTTTTGTTAAAACACTTTATAATATAATCAATTAAGAATTAATAATATCTCTCAGTCCTCATATACATTTACTAATTGGTACTATATATTAATATATATATATTATATCATATATTATATATACTTAATATATATTATGTAATAATTTATATTGGATATTAATATATTGTATATATTAATATAAATATACACACATATAAAACTAGGCTCGCAAGCCAGCTCGCAAGCCTAAAATTAGTAGGCTTGTTTATGGCATGACTGCTTAACGAGCCGGCTCAAACTCAGCTCGAGCTCGAGTTTTATCGAACCGGATTTGAGCTTTGACCAAATGGTTCACGAGCGGCTCGGCTTATTTGCACCTTTGCACCCTACCTTGACCTACCTCGTTCTTCAATCACCTCATATCTTTCCTCTTCTTCACAGTGATGCAGTTGGCTATGGTCATCGCCTCTCTCCTGGTCGTAACGCTGTTCGCCATTACGGCCGTTGTTCATCTTCTTCTTATTGTTTATATGGTGATTAGAAGTGGCATCCACGACCCAGGCAATTATGGCAACATAGATGTTGAGCGATGGAGGATCTTCATGTCTTCGATGACAAAGATAATAAACAAGGAGTGGGACAGACGGGACAGACGATAGTACTAGGGTTACAACGGTTTTGTCACCGAACGGGCATCGGTGGTGGCTTGGTTATGGTCAGTGGTGGTGCAGCTTTGGTTAGGGTTACAGAGCGCTAGAGAGTTGTTAGGGACACAAGGGTGGAGGTTGGTCAAATGCCACCACGGTTAGGGTTTTGAGGCTGGGACGGGAGTTGCACTGTGGCAGGGGGAGGGGATAGGGGACAGGGTAAGTGTTGGCAACACGCCTGGTCACTGGCCAGGGCAGCATCAGTGAAGGGCTAAGGAGGCGATGGCGGCGGGGGGCTTGACCGCTGAAGAGTGGGTTGGGGCTGGGGAAGCTAAGCTGGATGGTAGGGATATGTAATATTCGAGATTAATTTAAAGGGGTTAATAGTACTGCTCATACCAACAAAATGTATCTCCTTTTAAGGGAGCTCATCAGCTAAAAACTCAATGTTAAACGTGTTTGCGCGAGAGTCGTCTTTAGATGAGTGACCCTCTGGGATGTTTTTTAGGGTGCGCACGAGTGAGGACAAAGTGTGTGGTAAAGACATGTGTAAGTTTATAAGGAAACACTAGAGGTCTGAATGACATTCAGGACTCAAGGGTAACTACCTCAGGCCCTGAGGGGGTGCTACAAGTGGTATCAGAGCAACCTTGTGATAGTGTATTGATCCGTTATATCGGACGGGCACTCAACAGGGGAGAATTATGTGGTTTGATTGAGATTGGTTTATTAGCGTAACAAGGATGATGCATTCTTAAATAGAGGTGATTGTAATACTTGAGATTAATTTAAATGGTTAATATTACTACTCATACCAACAATGTGCATTTCCTTTTAAAGGAGTTTGTCAGTTAAGAACTCCAAATTATGTGCGCTTGAACGTGAGTCCAAATTAAGCGTGCTTGCAAGAGAGTAGTTTTGAGATAAGTAACATTTGAGAAGTTTCTCTGGGCGCGCACGAGTGAAGACAAAGTGTGTGCTAAAGGCTTTTGTAGGTTTTTTAGGACAACACTAGAGGCCTGGATGTCATTCAGGAGTAACTATCTCGGGGTTGGAGTTGGAGGTTGGCGCGAGGGTTAAAGACTGTTGGAGGTGATTGACATTGGACGGAGTATTTTGTGGTGGTGTCATCGTCGGTGGTATCACTGTGGCAATGTATTGTGGCAATGTCACTGATGGTGTCGTTAGCGGCAGTGTCACTTTGACAGTGTTAACGGCGGCGGTGATACCAACGACGGTGTCACTATGGCGTATCACTTTGGCAGTGTCACTAGCGGCGGTGGTACCAATACATTATTTGAATACATACTAGTTTAGTAACGCGTGTTGCGCGTTCGTGGTAATGCCCAAGGCCCATGTAGGAACATTAATTTATCAGTTTAGGTTGAGTGAATATATGAATAATATCATTACATTATTTGAATACATAGTTTGTTAGTTACAAAATCACAAAATAAATTAAAATGAACTTTATGAAGGAAACACAAAAAAGTAAACAATTACGTTGAAGTAAGCATATTCAAGATAATAATTAAAAATCTAAAAGGATATGTAAATCATTCGAATAGAGAAAAAAACTCAGCATCTGAAGAAAACTGGTTATGATCGGTAAGTCTGCAGGAATGCAGCCGTTGAGGGTCTAAATCGCCGACAAAGGGGGAACAAAAGAGGTGTTAGCGGGAAGAAGGTGATGTGAAAGGGCAATGCCGAGAAGGAAATAAAAGAAATGGATACTAAAGAATAACTCAATTCTAAGGAAGTTTGAAAGGGAAAGTAACAGAAGAGGAAATCAGTCATACATACACTTAGAATGAGTAACATCTCTCGCCTCCTTGCTTAGTATAATGCAAGACAGGGAAGTTGCAACAACGGGCCTCTTCCTCTCATTTAGTGTGGGCATCATCTTTGTGGCTTTTTGCTCCTTCGGAATGTGTTTGCAAGTTTTTTCTATTTCAAGATCAAGTGGTTCAAGAGATTTAGAACCTTGACTTCTCAAATGCATGCAAACACAAAGGAATATACACACACACAACAATAAACTCTTCCAAGATCAAGTGAAGTTTGTGAAGAGTAAAATAAATTCAGGATTTTTGAGTGATTGTTTATTTTTTTTTCTTTGGACTTTATTAAACAAAACCTTTCCCCGGCAACGGCGCAGAAAACTTGACCGGGCTAAACTTGCAAGTGTACAAGTGCCGAAGTAGTAATAAATTCTGGTAAAATACCGGGTCGAATACACAAGGAAACGTTG